GTTCGACAAGTGAGCACGCGTTTATTCCATCGAGCAGGAATACCTGAATGCTACTGATATCTTATTGTAGCAATTGGATAAGAAGAAGAAAGAGAAGAAGGAAACAATACTTTTATAAGTTCTTGAGGCTAGTTTCGAATTGTAGCAGTTTCGTAATATTGGTCTGATTGACCTTTGGCTTCGCCAGGAGTTCAGTAGGCATCAACATTGTCAGACACAGGACCAATCTCCAACTATCGACCTTCTATAGTGCAGTTTCCCTTTAGGTAGGTCTCGCTGTACTGTGTAAGCTCGACAGCGTTCCCCCTTAAATCAATCAATCCCGGAAACGCTACGTTTCTTCAGAGACCCAAACGCAATTAGTAGGACTTACTTTCACACGACGAAGGTATATTAGTTTAAGTTGTCCCTTCTTGTTTTATACTGTGTTGTGTACTAACTTCATCTTCATCTTCCATGAAGTGCTTCTCCTTCTGAGTTGCGGAGGCACACTTGTCAGACAGTGCTTCCAATATTTCCGGTCCTTTATCAGTACTTGACCTTCGGCAGAAAGCAACCGGGCTCTAGAGCAGACTCCTTCCTCTCTCGGTCGCTCCTTGGCCTTTCTGCAGGTCAGCTAGGCAACAAGTTGTTTCTTTGCCTTCTTCTCTGGAGGCATTCGCAACACTTCCCATAACCAGCACAGCCTTGACTTCTCAATTTGAAAAAATGGCTGTGCACCAAGGCTCTCGCGGATATCTGTATTTTGGACCAAATCGAGGTCCGTAAGGCCAGCGACTCGTCGCAGAAAACCCATTTAAGCAGCTTGTCCCTCTGCACTCATAGCCCACGACTCTTCACTTACGTGACCATTAGGATGAAGATCAATTTAAGTAAAGAGAGCTTAATGTTCAGACTGAGCTCTGCTTTAGTCACAAAGGGTCGGGCTAATTCACGCAGAACGCCACTGGCTGCTCCAATTGGTCGGTCGATCTTTTCCTCAAACTTTCCATCACTAGTAAATACGACTTCGAGGTACTTGAACTTCTCCATCTGCTCCACTGCCTCTCCGTTAATCTAAAGAGAGCAACGGACAGGAAAACGAGAAAGTACTACGCTTTTCGCATGCATGTGAACCGTTCCAGAGTGCACTGGAGATTAGTTTCAGAAGATGTCACCAAAACAGAGTCGTCTGCAAATATCAACCTCCTTGTCTTGACATTTCCTATGTTCATACACTCATTGCCTTGGTTGCGAGTGACTGCTCCATCCATGTTCAACACAAACAGGATAGGGGACAGAACGCAGTCTTGGCGGAGACCAGTGCCAGCGTTGAAAGACTTCGGTTTAACGCCATTTACTCAGACGCAGCACCTGCTGTCAGAACACAGTGATTGAATGGCCCGTAGCAATTGACCATCGATCACGATATGCTCGCAAGCATGTCCACAGACTGTTGAGCGGGATCCGGTCTAGGTTTTCTCCAGGATAACAAAGCACATATACACCGGATGGGCGAACTCTCACGATCTGGCGATTTCATAAGGCAATGATCCTATAATCCTACAGCACTCCCTGCGGTCTCCCTTCTTGAACAGGATATAACTATCCCCGTTTTCCGGTCCTTGGGTGTGTTTCCCGTAACCATTGCAGCTTGACGAAAACGTGTAAGCCAGCACATGCCTTGTTCGCCTAATGCTTTGAGCATTTCAGGACAGATTTATCACATTCCAGCAACCTTATCATTTTTCAAGCTTTTCACAGCTGGTGCAGTTTCATCTATAGAAATGCTAATATCCTTTTCCTGCTGCTTTACTGGCGAGTCTTCCTGCGGTTACTCCAGGTTAAGGAGTTCCTCAAAGTACTCCCT